CTATTGGAAGAACCCCCCCCCTCCCTCCCCATCAGGTATTTAGGACAATGGATAGGTCGGTAGGAATAGGGTTAAAGACTGAACGTACAAAAATGAATGAATTAAACAAAAACAATCTTATTGAAATTATGAAATTGTATATTTATTTATGAAATAAATTTTCATTTTCTGCCTTTGTCAAAAAAGTCTGAGTGTAAAAATTTGAAATGCATCAAAAATAATTTTAATATGTCCTTTAACGGGAGTGTTTGCGCAAAATGTAGGGGTGAAAAGGATAAACCCGAATTGTAAAGTATCGCCTTTTTTTCATCATCATATCCATATCAAATCATCCTCAAAGGGACTGTAGGCGTAATTTTAAATGACCCTTTAAGGAAAGATATCAATGACTGATTTACAACAGTACACATGAGATCTTAATCTGACCAAAAATGTGTCGATTTTCTGACTCAAAATGTGATTATTTCTGTGAATACTCTATTGTTTCTTTTAAACAAGACATAGGTTAGTTAATTTTGTAGAAAAACCACAAAATTAACCGCAAAAAATATAAAATTTGAATAATTGAAATCTAATTTATACTTGATCAGACGAAGCTTGGAGGGGTACTGTTGTAAATCGGGCATTGCCATCTTTGCTTACAGTCCCTTTAAAATATTAGGTTGGGACGGCTCCGACCTGGAGGAGCTATGGGTCCTGGCCTATTCTTTATCCTCCCCTGTATAGATACTTACAAGAAGGTCGACCTCAGGACCGTATCATTCGACGTACCACCACAGGAGGTCAGTTTAGTTTAGTGAGAGGTCAGATAGCTTTTAGGGAGGTCATTTTTAAAAAAATTGTTCAGAAATTATGCTTGGTTTATTAAAGTATTTTAGCAGGTTAATTCTAAAAGATATTTCTTTAAAAGTATTTTGGTAGGTCATCATCATTATATTTAGTACAAGACGGTTAGGAGTCCTTCTAAGAATGGATTCAATGTTGACCTCCTCTAGTCAATTGTCTAGGGTTTTAACAAATTTATTTTGAGATAAAAACCTTTATTTTGTAAAAAAGACATGAAAGAAATTTTAAATGTGATTTTGGCAGAACAAGCTTTGATTTTAGCATTTAGTTTTGAAATCTATTGCAAAGGAATTGAGTCATTGCCACAAACTCTGATTTCTGAATCCCTTTATCTCTACAACCCAATGTTGTAGACATTAGATATTTTAAACTATGAATTCTGATGGATCAAATAACCAAAGTTTTAAATATAAAAGTTTTAGAAAATGTGGATGTGTGGCAAAGACTCAATTCCTTTATGGCGAATTAAGTTTTCTTAATATAAAAAGTAAATAATTTAAGGGAGTGTTCCATGATAATGAAATGGGGTTAAGGACTTGTTTTAATTACTAATTTTATCTTTTAAATAATGTCTTAGTAAATAATGTAAAAAATGTAATTGTTCAGAGACATTCTCTTGTTAGAGATATTTCATTTTAATCTTCATTAAAATGTTTACTTAAATATATACAATGTGCAAATTATCTTAAAATTTGAGCCAACGAGGCAGGTTTTTATTTTCATACTAAAGGGACTGTAAGCACAATTTCAAGTGACTCTGCATGCAAATATTCACGTGCTATACCCTTGAAAATATTCACGTGCTATACCCTTGAAAATATTCACGTGCTATACCCTTGAAAATATTCACGTGCTATACCCTTGAAAATTTTAACTGATCAAAAAAGTGGTTGAAATTTCTTACTAGATTTAAAAGTGTTAAATTCTTAAAATTTCTATATGTTTCCCAGCAGTAGAAATGCAGAATCTATGGAAGAAAGTTTCCTGAAAAAAATTTCTTGGAAAAAAAACCTGGAAATAAAAACTTTACCAGAAAATAAAGTTTCAGAGACTTCATTTCCAAAGACTTTTTCCACAGGACTTTTTTAGTGCCAAAACGTAGGACTTTATTTCCGAAAACTTTTTTTCATTGAACTTTTTTGGCGGTCATCGAAATACACGTTCTTTTTGATGTAATTGATTCTTGATCTGACAAAGCTCTTAAGAGAACCGTTGTGAAGGCGGCATTGTCATCTATGCATGGACACTAAGGGTGATCAATATTGGAATTGAGCCAACCGCCCACCAGGGATCGCTGGGTTTTCACTCAAGAAAAATATTGCAATTTAAAAATTTTTTCAAAATCGTCCAGAAGGTTGCGATTTGACGATTTAATATCGGAGAATTCACCGTAAGGCCACAAAAAATTTTATTTTTTATTTTCATGTTATACATCATTTTCTTGGAAATTTAATGCCGAATTCAAATCAGAAAAGCGTTTTTAAAAAAAATTGAAAATTGAGTTTGTTAGAGCTAAAAAACTCATCAAAAACATTAACAAGTTAAAAAAATCTGAATTTAGTATCGTTATTTGGCCATAACTTCTTTAGATTTTAATATTTTTGAAAATGATTTTCGAATCTGAATTCAGCATGAAATTTCCAAGAAAATGATATGTATCATATTTATTTATTTTTAAATATTCGCAACCCTATGGACGATTTTTAATTTTTTTTTATTACAATATTTTCATAAAGTAAAAACGGAGCTGATTTCTGATAGATAGAGCTGATTTCTAAAAAAAGTCAAAATTCAATCACCCTTAATGAACACAGTACATTCTAGTTCATTTCATGTACCGGCCCGAATTTCAACTAGCCAGGGCAAGCAGTACAGTACAAATACAGACTATATGAGGCAAAACGGGACTGTACGCCAAATAAATGATCCCCTTCTAGTGAAATTTATGTGTTGGAAGGTTATTTGCAATAAAAAAATGTGTTTTTTTCAAATCATTTTAATTGTTCATTTTAGGTTTTGTCCCGAGACTCTGTTACAGTAAGCGTAGATGCAGTTGTTTACTACAGGAATATATTCGGTCTTTGCAGTACACTTGCAGTACACTTTACAGTACACTTGCAGTACATTTTACAGTAAACAGTTCAGTACACTTTGCTGTTTACTTTAAATACACTCTACAGAACACTTTGCACTACATTTTGAAGTAAACTTTTCAGTACACTTTCCGTAAACTTTCAGTACACTTTGAAGTACACATTGCAATACACTTAACAGTAAACTTTGCAGTACACTTTAAAGTATACTTTACAGAACACTTTGAAGTACAACACTTCAGATTGCTTAAAGAAAGTAAACTAGAAACCGCTATATATGATGTGTCAAATCATTGTACTGGAGACAAAAACAAAGAATTCAAGGGGGGCCGGGGGGGGGGGTATTATATTAAGATCTATAGCTGAAAATCATGAAAATTTGACGATACCCTGTTTTAAGTTCTAAACTTATCCTCCAAAAAAACTGCATTAGAATTTTCTGTAAACAAACAAATTCTTAAATACGTTAACTACTCATTCCTTCAAACAAAACTAAAGAAAGTTGTGTAAAGATTATCTTTTTAAGTTGATTATTTTGTTCTTATTTAATATATACGTGATAAATTATGTAAACCCTAATTTCTAGAGTGAATTCCACAAACTTTTCGCCTGCTAAAATTAATTTTGTTTCAAGAATTTTAAATAAACTTTATCTTTTTCTATCTATCCTCTATCTATCTATCTATCTATCTATCTATCTATCTATCTATCTATCTATCTATCTATCTATCTATCTATCTATCTATCTATCTATCTATCTATCTATCTATCTATCTATCTATCTATCTATCTATCTATCTATCTATCTATCTATCTATCTATCTATCTATCTATCTATCTATCTATCTATCTATCTATCTATCTATCTATCTATCTATCTATCTATCTATCTATCTATCTATCTATCTATCTATCTATCTATCTATCTATCTATCTATCTATCTATCTATCTATCTATCTATCTATCTATCTATCTATCTATCTATCTATCTATCTATCTATCTATCTATCTATCTATCTATCTATCTATCTATCTATCTATCTATCTATCTATCTATCTATCTATCTATCTATCTATCTATCTATCTATCTATCTATCTATCTATCTATCTATCTATCTATCTATCTATCTATCTATCTATCTATCTATCTATCTATCTATCTATCTATCTATCTATCTATCTATCTATCTATCTATCTATCTATCTATCTATCTATCTATCTATCTATCTATCTATCTATCTATCTATCTATCTATCTATCTATCTATCTATCTATCTATCTATCTATCTATCTATCTATCTATCTATCTATCTATCTATCTATCTATCTATCTATCTATCTATCTATCTATCTATCTATCTATCTATCTATCTATCTATCTATCTATCTATCTATCTATCTATCTATCTATCTATCTATCTATCTATCTATCTATCTATCTATCTATCTATCTATCTATCTATCTATCTATCTATCTATCTATCTATCTATCTATCTATCTNAACCCCCCAGGAAGGACATCTGAATCCCTCCAGTGGAATGTAAATCACCCTGCGTAAAATTTTGAATTGAAAAAGCATTTTTTCAAACCCCTCCAGTGAAAAAGAATTCCCTCCGGTGGTCTCCAGTGGAGTCAAAATCTTACTACGAACTTCCGTGACTCAAAATATATGAACAATATGTCAATTACTTGGGTTTAAAGTTTAAACTGAAGTTAGTAAGCTAAAATCAAACACCGAGGTGACACTTTAAAGACGACCCAGTATTAAAAACTGATGCATAACTTTTATAACTGTTTGGTTATTTCGAATCCTCGTATCTCTGTATAACTTTATCCCAGAATCTCTTTATCCCTGTATACCATGATATCTCTGTTTCACTTTATCCCAGTATCTCTATATCCCTGTATACCAATATCTCTGTATCACTTTATCCCAGTATCTCTGTATTCCTGTATACCAATATCTCTGTGCACCTCCCCCTCCCTCATTTGTTCACTTTCTCCTCCAAGTTTGAAAACTTTAAACAGTTAATTATGTTGGAATACACGGTAATACTACCGTTTAGATACATGAAAAAAATCATGTATCCGAAATTTAAAAAGAAAAATTTTTTAAATTAACCATATGTAACAACGTTGTAATGATATAACACAATTTAAACTGTACATGTATTATGCAGTAGTACATTTGAATTTCCGAGCAGGGTCAACCTTTCTGGTCCCTGTTTGTACTGTACCTAGCTCTGTGGAAAGGACTAGCCGGTGCAACAAGGTTGACGCGGTCAGACTTTATGCTTCATATAGGTTCAATTTACTTTTACTAAAGGGGCAGAGGTGCGTGTATGATATGTTATGAAAACCAGTATGTTATAACAATTGTGAACTGACTGAGAAAAGGACAAAAGAACATAACTCAATTATGTTTGAAAATCCAGCTTTCTACAAGTCATTGGCAAGGAAAAATAGGAAGCAAGATCAGCCAGCGTAAAATAAGTGTTCACTATGGTTTATAGGGTTACCCATGGTCAAGTTTTTAAGACAATGGCGCAACACAAAACGTTGGGTTGTATGACTTTTAACTGATCTTGAGCAAAACAAAATAATAGAAAGACTTTGATAACAAACTGCAAATAGATTTATAGATATTTCGTTTTTATTTGTATGCGTCAGCTTGTGCCCACACCCCTTATCCAAAAATAAATCATTAAAGTTAAAACAATTGTGAACCATTTATGGTAAAATAAATACTTTGTTTAAAAAAAAATATATCTCCTCTACATCATCCTGAATTACGAAGCCTCTATGGGAATTAAAGATGTCTAAAATAAAGTTCTCCAATTTACTTTTTACAAATGTTTCAAGATCTTGCGTGACTGAGGTTCATCAAGACAAAGAAACTTATTAGATATATTAAACATTTTATTTTTATTACTAAAACACAGAACAAGAGAAAGAAATAAAAATAGGGGGAGGGGGGGGGGGGTCATGAATCATGATAAAAAGAAGAGAAGTTATTGTTAAAAGGAAAGGAGAATTAGGAGACATTTGAGAGGAGGGGAAAAGTGAGGAGGAGGGG